TAGACACCAACACAAGTTCCTGCCTCCAGTGTCTGGGGCTGGGCAGACGCCCCACTCACCTGGCCGCCCCCCCGCTCACCTGGCTGCCCCCCATCCCCTGCATGCCGCCCGGCCCGTCTCCTCAGTCCACTCCTGCCCTGCCCCCTTCCCGAAGTGCTGAGGAGGTCTGTGCTCTGGGAAACACCTCTGGAACATTTGAGACCAAAACATTTCCAACCAAAGCTTTTAGAAGCCCAGACCACGTTCACGGCCAGCTTGCTCTGAAACCTGACGCTCTAGAAGCCATTTGGTGAATTTGTGCCCCAACATTTTGAAACCCAAACATTCTGGAAACCTACTGAAAGCAAGACATCGCATGCAATGGAAGAAAACCAAGAGAAGACGGCAACCAGCTTCATCAGGCTGTGCCGGATCCCCAGGCCCTACAGATCCAGCATCAGACGGTGCCTGCAGGGCTGAGGGAGCCGGACGCAGCAGCTGCCCCTGCCCCCACCTGGGAGGGATGTCGCACTAATAAGGCTCACACTCTGCCCTTGGGCTCCTGGCCTTCCCTCCAGGACCCAAGGGAACTCTCAGCGCTGCCTCTGCCGACCCAAGCCAGGCCTGCACCTCACCAAGCTCCATGTAGCTCCTACAACATCACAGACGGAACACTGCCCAGGAGCTGACAGGCGACGTGTCAGCGGGGCAACCCCACAATTTGGGAGGTGCCCAGAGAGGGCGGAGTGGGTGTCTGACCCATTCGGGGACGGCAGAGGGGGGAGCACGGGCGTGCTTGCAGTCCGGCCAGAGGCAGACGGGCCACGGCCCAGTCCCCAGGCCTTCCTCCCATGGCCCGCTCTCACAGCACTCCCTGAGCCGTGTCTTTTATCCCTGAGACGGAGGTGACTGCACGAGGAGGAGGAGCCAGGAGAGAAAGAGCCCACTCACAGACCAGTCTGCAGAGCCAGTGGGCGCCTGGATGACCTGCCCTCTGGCTCTACCCCCACCTCTTCTCTGTGCAGCTCTGTGCTGCTGGCTCAGACCCGGCCAGTGCCACGTGCCAGGAGAGCGTGGACATCGGGCTGCAGCCCAAAGTTTAGGTCGGACACCACCTGGGTCCTGGCTGTGCTTCCCAGACCCCTCCCCAGACACAGCACGGGCTCACAGCATGGGCTCCTGGCACTGCCAGGCTCCCATGGGACATTGGGCCTGGGCGCCCCAAATCCAGCCAGTGAGGAGGCCGTGCCCACACTGTTCACTCTCCACTGACGGCCACCCTGCAGCTCCTCGCCACCTGGTGCCACAGTGCCATCCAGACAGCCCGGGCAGGCCTGAGCCAGGACACAGGGCATGGATCAGAGTGCCTGGGAAAGGCAGGCCTGTGGCAACCCACCAGGACCGGCCCCAAGACAGAAGCACCCCTGGCCCCTCATTCCATGCTGATTTGCACAGGCTGCAGTGGAGGACCTTGCCTGTCCCTGGGTCTCAGCGGAGGGAAGACATGTGAAGTTGCATAGTGAGCCGTCCGTGACTAATGAGGAAGACCCTCTGTGCGGAGGTCACAGCCTCTCTCCGTCACCAGGACACCTGGACCCTGCTGGACCAGAGCCAGTGTGGCAATTCAATGGTGCATGAGGCAGGATCCTGAGGGTTCAGGGCCAGGAACCCAGATCTAATGCGCTTAAGCCCTTGGCACGTGTGGGCCCCACCTGCACAGTGAGGACGGGTGCAGCCTCAGGCCACACACCCTGCAGGTAGCAGTTTCTCAGCCTCCGCCCTCATGGTGTGGCCTTGTCTTGGTGTGGCCCTCCCAAGATGGCACAGCCGAGGGTGCTGGGTCTGATGGTCCAGACCAGGGTGTGAGCCCTGCCGGAACGCGTGCAGGACCGCCCAGCTGGCCAGGGCTCCGGGCTGGGTGCCACCCCACTTGGCTCTCAGGGCCTGGAGCGAGGGGCACACCGACCAGAGGAGGGATGGATGAGCATAGGCAAAGCGGCAGACACCTGCCAGTCACCCCATCTGGAGAAACATTCACACGTTTTCAGATTAACTGGGGTGGACTAGTCAAGATCCATCTCGTCATAATTTCAGGTTTGGAATGTGGGGCGGGCAGGAAAGAACATGTAGCTTATAAATAAATGAGCCATAACCGCTGGGGCATTGGCTCGGGGCAGCGGACCCCCTGGGTCTGCGTGACATCTGGGAGCCTGTTTGGAACTTGGCAGGGTGGGGCAGCTGAGGACAGACCGTCCCAAGCTGTCTGCCAAGAGTGGCGCTCCACCCCTCTGAGCAGCTCTCTGGTCTAAGTGGGGAGGGCACACGGCCGGGGAAAGTCCCCCCAGAAACCCACCTTCCTTCCGGAAACGCAAGAGGCCTCTGCCCTGCAGAGGGCTGCAGAGGCAGGGGATGCAGCCTCCTCTCCTGGGGGGCGGGGGGTGGACCACAGCACTACAGGAAGGGAGGACCTGGGGGGGCGCAGGAACAGACACTCTTCTTGTCTGGGACGGAGAAGGCACAGTAACTCCCCAGGAACAGGCAAACTGCCCGCAGGAGCCACAGACAGCACAGGGCTGAGACAGCACCCAAGTCAGGAGGAGGGAGCTCAAAGCCCCACAACTTTGGAGACCAGCACTGACCCCCGAGCTGGGGTCACCTCCATGAAACACGTGGGAGCACGATGCAGGCCCCTGGCTCACAGGCCTTGAAGGAGGCCCTCAAGGAACCACCCCCTCATCCATCCATCCATCCATCCATCCATCCACTCACTCACAAAATAAACAGTCACTGAGTGTCCTGGCATGTCAGGCAGGCCCTGCTCCCCACCCGGGAAAAGGGGGAAGGAGAACCAAACCGCAGTGGGGGTCCACTGCCCACGCCTGCGCCTCCACTATAACAAATCGCCCAGACTCCAGTCCTGGAGCCGTGGCGGGTTCTGTGTGCTTGACACAGAGTTTGCAGGCAGGCAGGTCGGACGGCCATGCTCCTTATAGCACCTGCCTCGCTCTGTCCCCAAAACGCCACCTTCCCCCTCAGCCAAGTGCTCCCAGCTGGACAGCGCCAGTGCAGCCTGCCTGGGGGGGGGGGGGGGGGGGGGGGGCAGGTGGGCGGGGCAGCTCCTCTAACTGCCCCCAAAGAGGTGGGGCTGGGTTAAAGCCCTGCCATCACCAATCAGACTGTGGATGCTGCTGCACAGGGGCACACCGACCACACTGCAGAGAGAAAAGGAAACCCTCGCCCTCACCAGAAACAAACTTAAAATTCATCAAGAGTAGAAATTCCTTCAAAATAGATGATGAGCCCTGGCTGGTATAGCTCAGTGGATTGAGCGCGGGCCTGCGAACTAAGGGATCGTGGTTCGATTCCCAATCAGGGTACATGCCTAGGTTGGAGGCCAATTCCCAACAGGGGACGCACGAGAGGCAACCATACATTAGTATTTTTCTCCCTCTGTCTTTCCCTTCCCCTCTAAAGATAAATAAATTAAAAATCTTTTAAAAAATAGATGATGAAGGCACTAGATACCTAAATATTCATTAGGAGCTATGAGTGGACACACTGTATCAGCACATGAGAAAGTGGACACACTGTGTCCAAGAAATACACGAGAAAGTGTATCAGACACTGTAAGAGTTAAGAGGACAACAGCACAAGACCCCACCCCCAGAACTGCGCTGTCTGGGGGAGGTGCAAAATGCACAACCCCAAGGCCGAGGCGTAAGTCCAGGGCAGGACCTGCTCCACGCCACATCCTCTCCCAGGCTGTGACAGGCACAGTGCCCAGGGGGCCCTGCTGAGGCCTCGGCTATGACACACAAGGGGATTTTGTTGCACAAACTATGGTGGTGACAGATATCCAACAATGTGAATGTGCTTAATGTCCCTAAATTGGACACTTAAAAATGGTTAAAAAGGTAAATTTTATGTTATGTATAGGTGACTACAAAAAAATGGGGAGGAAGTTAGCAGGTCAGGAGAAGGGTCTCTGCCGCCCTTCACTGATCTCCTACCCGTGCCTCCTCCCAGCAGCAGCCCTGGGCAGGAGACCCGCCCAAGGGGCATCCAGGGCCATCTCTTTGTCATCGCTGAGCCAGCTCGAGGCCCAGGAAAATGGAAGGAAGATCTCTGAACACCTCGGCCCTGCTCCTCATACCAAAACCAGGCCAAAGACAAGGCAGCCCCTCCTCTCTGCCACAGACCCTCATGCCTCCCGTCACCAGTCCCCTCTGGCCTGTGTTCCCCCCCTCCTGCCCACGGCTGCCCCTGGGCTGGGCCCTGGCCCCCTGCACTCCACTAGCCAACTCACAACCAGAGGCCATGGGCTCCAACAAACTGGCCAGAGCAAGGGCACTCACACCAAGGAGACCTGAGGGAGGGCTTCCAAGCCTGTGACCCACTCTCCAGGGACCGGGCATCAAGGTCCCAGTGCCCGAGATCAGGAAGTCAAGGTCAGATGCGATGCCCCACCATCACAAAATGACACTTCTCCACGGTCATATGGCCAACTGCAAAGGAACTGGAGCCAGATGTTTTAAAAGCCTTCTGGACTAGCAGACACCTTAACCGAGTCAAGGCCACCAACTGGGACTACCCCAGGGTCAGTGACGGCTCCGAGGGCTGGACCCGGCCAGCCAGGCCTGCCACAAGAGCCAGACAGAGCCTCACCTTGCTGACGGCGGGGCACAGGCACTGCAGACTCCTGCCCGCCCATCACTGTCTCTGCAAGCCTTCGGTCTGTGGCTCTGACACAGAGGGAGGTGCTGGAGCTAAGGTCCCACCTCCGGGGCTGGGACCGTGGGGCAGTATAAAGCCCTGGTCTGACTGCTGCCCCACGAGACACGGCCCCGATGAAGGAGCGCTCGCTCATGGAGGGTGTGTCTGCTGCACGTTCACAAGCACTGGAGGGCCTGGTCGCATGCAGGGGTCCTCCCTTGCCTCAGTCACGTTTCTGAGTGTGAACTCTGGCTGTCACACACCTCAGAGCCCTACTGTGTGCACCTGAATAACCACATGAGCAGGCGCCGCGAGCAGGTGTAGGATTTACTCCATCATCTCCTCCGCTTGTCTCATATTAAATATCTGAAATATATTAATCTTAAAAAACAGTATTAACACAGTACTCAAAGAGTACAAGCAATGGGGTAAGCAGTAAGTCTGGCTGCCAGACCGCAGGTGATTTCACAGACTGGAGTGTGGCTGTGGCCCACCCCAGCAAGTTCAGGCCCTGGGGACAGGAGTGCTGAGGATTTGTCTGCCATGAGTCACACTGGGAGGGCCTTGAGGCCACAAACACCAGTGCGTGGCAGCCCCTGGCTCCCTTCTCGGGACACTGGTCGAGGCCCAGCAGCCATCACCGCGCTGAGTCACAACTCGGCCCGGTCTGTGGGTCTCTGGTGCCGGGAGCTCACCCATGCACCTCAGTCCCGGAGCAGGTGCTCGGGCTTGGGGTAGCCGAAGAGCACAAAGTCGGCCTCGTAGAGCTTGTACAGCTGGCGCCGCCAGGCCAGCGGGATTTTGGAGAACCAGTCCTCCTCCCAGCTGCTGGCAGTTCTGTTCCGGTAGCTCGGGGGGAAGTGGAGCTGCCCATCCACCTTGAGCAGCCGCAGCAGCTGGGCGGCGTCCTGGTCCAGGGTCTCCAGCTTGCCCACAAAGTCGTACTCGATCTGGCAGGGGTGGCAGAGCCGGTGCACCTGCCGCCAGTGCTCGTTGAAGGGCGCCAGCTTCTCGGTGCGGGGGTCCAGCAGGTACTGGATGAAGTGGGAGAAGGTGACCTTGAGGCCCGCGCTGAAGGCCTCGCTGACGGACGCGGGCAGGCTGGTGAGGTTGGCGTAGGCCCTGAGCATGGGCACGGCAAACCTGCGGTAGAACTCCTCGTTCTCCAGCTCGAACTTGCTGCGGAAGGCCGAGATGAGGCGCACGAAGGGGTCCCGCACGAAGAGGAACTTGGTGTACTTCTGCAGCTTGACCTTCATGAGGTGTCGGGAGAACTTCCCATAGCGGCGCCAGAACTTGTTGAAGGTCAGGTGGGTGCTGGAGTTGTGCACGTACTGGCGGGGGATGTCCAGCGGGTCTTGGTAGGGGGCGCCGCGGTGCAGCAGGCTCCCGCTGAGGACGATCATCACGCGTTTCCAGTTGGTGCAGGCCACCTTGGGCACGTAGCAGTAGATGATGCCGTGGCGGTCGTCCACAATGAGGTGGTTCAGCTCGTAGTTGGGGATGTCGTCGAAGGAGCGCTCCTTGGTGGGGAACTCGAAGCTGGCGTTGGCACAGAAGTCCCTCAGCACGCCCCTGCGCTCGGCCTGCCGCCCGTCGGAGTCCGGGCCCTGCTGGGCGTCACGGCTGGACCAGTCATAGCCCCTCACGCTCTCCTCCACGCTGCCCAGCGGGGGCCTGCTGGATGTTGGCAGCGGGGGCGGCTCCGTCTTTTTGCCCAGCTGGACATTCTGCTTTGTGCCAGCACCGAGCAGGTTCTCCAAAAACGCGTCCACGTCGGGTGCCAGCTCCCTCCCCGCAACCTGCTCGGGGCTCGGGTGGGGCCCTGGGGTGTGCAGCCTGGAGAAGGCCATATGTGGGGCGAAGTGCGCCGTGCCCACACTGTCCCAATACACGATGATCAGGAGGACCATGAACGCGGAGCCCAGGACCAGCCCCAGGCGGAACAGCCGCGCCTTGGCCATCCTGCGCCTGGGTCCTCACTCCGGCCGCATGGACAGGCTGGCGCCGCACTCCTGGAACCTGGAAAGGCAATGGAAAGCCGAGTTAAAGGCTGGGCCTGCCCAAGGGCCCCTCTGTGGGCTCAGGGTCCAGTGGGTGATGCTGGCTGGCTGGCGCTCAGGTGTGTTCCTTCCACAAGGCCGTCTGCCACCCCCTCCATCCTCCATGCGCTGGGTCTAGTCAGGCTGCCCGACCAGGAGCCCAGGCCTCTCTGTGCACTGTGACCAATGCTGCTCATAAGGGCCCGAAAGGATGAGTGTGACTGACAAGGTGACTAGAGGTCCTTTGTCACTGCCCTGAGGAGAGGAAGCCTGACAGAGCTGTCACTGGGCAGAGCGCAGATGGTGAAGAGGCGCGAGGATCAGAGCACACGAATGGCGAGGTGGTGAGGCGGAGAGAAGGTAAAGCTCAGTGCAGCTACAGTTTAGAGAAGTGGGAAGATGCCCCCTCCCTCCCAAAACCCCACCCCTTTTGCCATGTCCACTTAATCCCCATAAACACAGGAGACAGGCCGCCACCGCCCCAACTTAGCATGTGGACTAAGTTGTTGGGGACCCTGGTGGGGATGCTGGCTCAGAGACAGCGATACCCGGGATGCCTGACCTGGTTCGACTCAGGTTCCAGACACACAGAGCAGCCTTGTTGCCCCAAGACCCACCCTCCTACAGCTAAAAACTACAGACAGGCACAGTCACCAAGCAAATGTGGAGGTCTCGGGACCTGTGGGGCAGCACCAGGGAGTTTGCTAGGCCCCTATTGTCTCCCATGCATCCCAGACAGGGCACTGCAGAAGCCACCAGCCCCAAACAGCCAACCGCACAGGAAAAAAAAACAGCTGGTGAGGAGAGCCCAGCCAGAGGACTGGAAGGGGCGGCCGTGTCCCTGCCCAGAGGCCTCCCTACCCTGGGCTCCTCGTGAAGCAGCTCTGGGCCCTCAGGTGTCCTGCCTGAGGGGACCGGTGTTGCTGATCTGGGGGCCTAAGGGCTTGGGGCCCTGCCACGGAGTCCAGGAGTGCAGTTCAGGGTGGGGGCTTCGGGTCGCACCGGTCTGAAAGGGATGCAGACCAAGGTCATCTGTGTGGGGGTCGATATCAATATGATGAAGCTCCAGGAAAGACTCTGGCTGTGGAGGCTCAGGAGCCGTCCCCCGTGAGTGGTGCCGCATGCACAGGGTCCCTTGTCCCTGCTGGGACGGGTCAGCTCTGTGCTCGCCTGCACTGGGAGGGGCCATCGGCAGATCTGCATGAGGTGCCTCCTGCCCTCCGCCCCACACCGCTGCCCCTGGCTGAGGCTGACCGGGGCCACATGCCACGATGAGCCATGGCTGCGAGCGTGGTGGCTCAGGGAGCTCTGCAAACCCTTCCATCAGACGATCCGCCTGGGGGTCGGTGGTCCAGGGACCCCCATTTCCTATCAGTGTCGGGAGTGTGGGAGAAGGGGCCTTGGGAACTCTTCCTGACGTGGCAACTACCTGACAACAGAAACATCTTTCTGGCAACACATGTCCTTCCGAAGCCGAACACCAGTGGGAAGACCTCACCCACAGAGTCAGAGAGCCGAGCTGGGAGCTGACCTCTGCCCCACCCATGGAAGCAGGCAGTGGGCGCGGTGCCTTCCCTGCCAGAGCGGACACAGGGTGTTGACACTCTGCTTCCTGCCCCCCCACCCCCAACGGCGGACAACATAAGTCACACAGACACTGTTCAAAAGAAGTCACCCACTGGGGTCAGTGTACCCACAGTCCCCAGTGACTCATTTAGTTCAGGCCCTTTCCCTGACAGGGTCCAAACCCCAAGCCACCAGCCAGAAGTCCAGCCCACACTGCCACTAACCAACAGGAAAAGACACTCACTGTCACTAAACATCTGCGTGAGCAGAGTGCGGATCCAAAGCACAGTGAGATGCCACCTCACACTCATCACAACAACTTCTTTTTAAAGAGAGACAGACAGACAACAGCTGTGGGCGGCAGCTTGAAGTCATAGCCCTTGAGCATGTCACTGGGAGCACAATGGCGTCACCCTGGTGGAGCATGGCCTGCAGGCCCCTCAGACACCAAACATGGCGCGTCAAGGCGCACCACCGGCAACGCCACCGTGCTCACCGTGGTGCCGCCCACACAAAGCGGCAAAAACGGGAAGAATAAACACACACAGGTGGCTTATCCACATGGCGGGACACTGTTGGGCCTCAAAAAGGAACTGACACAGCCTGCGATGTGGATGAGCCTGGGGACAATGTGCGCAGGGACATAAGCCAGACACAGGAGGACACACACTGTGTGACGCTGCTCACGTGAGGGCCCGGAGGGGTCACAGTCACTGAGACAGGAGGCAGAGTGGGCACCGGGGGTTGGGGATGCAGGGTGAGGGTTTCCTGAGGACAGAGGCTCAGTTTGGGAAGACAGGGAAGTTCTGGAGATGAGCGTGCTACCCCTGAACTGGACACTGAAAAAGGGTTAAGATAGAGTATTTTATGTTCGGTGGGGTTTTTTTTTCAGTAAAAAAAATGGGGATAATGAGTCAAAGCTGTAAAGGGAACTTGGTGACATTTCCAACAGACACTGTTGAATGAACAGTGTTCAAAAAGAAATTAAATAAAGGCCTTAATGTGACAAAATCAAAATGAAGGCTAAACCCAGAGCCCACTGCAGAAGCCACACTCACCGGAAACCTTCAGCAAAGTTGCAGGCCGACTCCACCTGCAATCAGTATGTGACGCAAGCGTCACCGTTCTAAACAGTCATGAGGGGGGGCATGAAAACAAGCCAGGACTTCCCCTCCAGCCAGCCCAAACCTGGGCCTGGGAGGTCGGCGAGGCTGCCCCAGGGTCCCGTCCCCCCTGGAGAGCGGCCAGGGGCCTGGCCTGCTTTGGGCAGAGCTTCCAGGCCTTTCCAAGTCTAGGCATGGAGCACCCCGGTGCTGTGCTGAGGCGATGTCCATTTTTAACATCAAGGCACAGGGGCGGTCCTCTGTGCTGTCACTTCCAACCTCAAACACGCCACATAAACAGCAGTTGTGGAAACGAGCCGGCAGCGGAGCAGCCTTGCAGAGTGCAGCACTGTGGGGCCTTGGAGCTGCATGGCCCCAGGCTCAGAGTCCGAGAGCTGCAGAGAGGGGGCCAACCTGATGGCAGCCCCACAAGTTCTCCTCTTCAAAGGGGTGGGGGGTTAGCTAGGGAAGTGTCTGGGCAGGGCAGCTGAAGTCAGAGATCTCGGCAGCACCCCACTGCTTTCTAGGGAGGAGAGAGGCACGGCAGGGAGCCAGGAGACACCTGAAGCCATGACCGTCTTACAGCATGTCGGGGACAGCGATGGCCTCATACAGTAATTTTTCATCCAGAAAATAAGGGCACGGTTTCCAAACTCAAATCTCCCACTATTTCAAACACAGTCAACAAAAGCCCACAAGTTTGAAATGATTTCCCACTGGCAGTGGCCTCAGCCAGAAGCTGCATCTCTGGGGCTAGTTTTCCTCCAGGGCTCAGTCCAATGCCCTCGTCACTGCTACTGACAAAGGAATTCAGTCGGGTTCGCACCCAAGCACCTGGGCTTGCAGGCAGAGCTGTTTGCTGGCTCGGGCAGGGCGGTCACACCCATTACATGGGAGGTGGGAGGCTGGCCCCCACGCTGGCTGCCCACGCAAGGCTGCCCGTCTGAAGGAGCCTTCCCACCAGTAGCAGGCAAAACTGGGGAAGACAGGGTGGCCTGTGGATGCCTGTTGGGCTCAGCCCCTGACATTCAGGGTGCCATGATGATAGTCGCCCCGTGAGGCCCGTGGAAGAGCACTTCCCACGCTCTTCAGCAGAGCGGGCGACTCCAGTACCTAAAGGTCAAGGGAATGTGATGCTTGATCTTATGTGAGCAAACGTGACTGAGCCTCAGGCTGCCCAGGAGTGGTCATACACTATCCCCACGTTACATGGAGGCCAAAGTCGCCCAACAGCCGGTGCAGCACTGAAGGAGAAGGACAGAGTGGGAAGACGGATGCTCCCTGACTTCGAGGCTCACTGGTACGTATGGGGATCGACAGTGTGCAGCTGGCAAAAGAGCAGAGGAGTGATGGATGGAACAGAGCAGAGAGCCCAGCAGCAGCTCCCCCCACCCGTGAAAACTGTCAGCTGGGCTTGTGGAGGGAGCAGAGGTGACGCAGGGAGCCACGGTGGCATCTTCTCCCTCGGACAGCACTGGGACAACCAGACGCCCACATGCCAAACAACACACCTGGACACGGACCTCCCTCCGCCCACAGTGGCTGGCTCGGCAGGGTCACAGAGCTGAACGGGGAACGCGGCACAGCGAAACCCTAGGAGGTAAAACAGGGGGACACCTCGGTGCCTCGGGCATGGCAAGGCATTTCAGGTAGCAGCGAAGACGTGACCCATGAATGGAGCTGACCACACTCCAACCCGTGCCAGGGAGTGCACTGCAGCATTATTTGAAACAGCTACAAACTGGAAACAAGCCCACAGCCCATCAATGCAAGCGAACAAACCTGCCCAGGTGGCTCACTCGCTGGGGGACTGGTCAGCCGTGACAAGGAGCAGGCCCTGCCTCACACATCAACGCATGCCACACGTGGGTGGGATTGAGGAAGGAGAGGGCATTCTGGAGTCGGGGCTGGCCTCTGCCGGTGGCCTGGGACACAGCTTATGCCTGTGTTTCCAGCCCCCTCCTACAGCACAGGGGCAGGGGAGGCCTGTGCTCCCCGAGCTGCCGAGGGTGAAAATGAGAGACGCCAGTGGATACTGCTGCAGAGCAGAGTACTTTCACGGCGCTGTACCGCTGGCCTTGACCCTTCTGCCTTCACCGGACCCCCAGCATCTGTCTCACTGAATAGACCATGTGATTTCATTATTCTCATGCTTTCTGCCAACAGACAGCTACCAGAAGCCAAAAGATGTGAGTTTCAAACAGATTTTACAAAACAGTTAATATACTTTCAAAAGTGCTGCTACAAGGTGCTGCATATATTAATTTATTTGATCCTCACACGAACTACCTCTGAGAGGCCACCTCTTCTTGTCCAGCTGACCGACTTGTGAGCACGACGTCCAGTGACTGGAGCTGCGCTCAGGAGTGCAGGCTGCTTCGGCATGGCTGCACTGATCCCCCACGGCTCGGGTCAGGGCGGGCCACAGAGCTCTGGAAAGTTCCCGTGAGCGGCCTCCATGTTTGCCCTCTGTGCCTGTGCCGTCTAACCCTGCAGCTGATGCTTTGGGGCCGAATTAACCCCCCACTGTGAGGCAGATCTGTGCATGCTGCCGCCAGCACACGGGTTTGTTTGCTTACAAAACTACTTCACTTCTGTTCTGTTCACCCTGCAGCCTCAACCCCGGCAGTGCATCCAAATAAAAGCAAGTAATAAATGGTCGCATTGACGGAATGGAAGGTGACGCACAGCCTAGAAGGCCTGGACAAGAACTGAGCCCAAACTCAGCCTCAGAAGTGAAGCGACTTCCCTGCAGAGCAGGGGCCCACAGCACCGCTGGCTGTCCGCTCCCCCCAGTCTCTAAGGCCCTGGCGACAACTCAGTAGCTGGGACATTAGCGCACGTGTACTGGTCCCCCATTCTGGAATTAGATTACACCTTCTCAGAGGACAGGCACTGTATCTACTAAATCCCTCATACTCCTGCCAAGACTCAAATATCTGATGTGTGGTATTGGACTCTGGACTCCAAATAACTCAATTCTCAGACTTAAGTCAATTCAAAGAAATTATTTCAAGGTAAAATAATGATAATTAATTTCACCACGATTAGTTCAAGAACCTGCCTGATGCTTTCTTTAGAAATACATCCTTAGAAATACACCCAGCCCCTAAGCCCTCAGCCCCACCGCTGCCCGGCCCTGGTGCACACTGTCCCCTGATCCCTGCAGCCCCAGGACCAGCCCCTCTGCTTCTGCTCTAGTCATCAGAGCCCACGGCTCCCCACGTGCAGCCCTTACAACGGCCTGTGACAAGCCCATGAGTGGAATCCTCTGCTCTCGCCTCTTCCTCTGTCCCCACAATGGCCTTGCTGTTCCTCAACACCACCAACCGTGCCCCACTGCCCGGCCCAGTCGTCACCGTCCTCTCCTGGGCCACTCATGCAGAGGAACCCTGGGGCCTGACCCCTTACTTGCTTCTGATCTGTGCTCAAAGCTCGCCTACTGCATGAGGGCTGCCCTGGTCACTCCCAGCCTCCCCCCACGGCACCACTGCTTCACCAGGCCCCTCCGACACTGTGTGCTCACTGGTTTATCCACTCACTGTCCACCCGCGTTGAATAGAAATGTGTAGAAGGGGAGCACCTGCCCTGTCCTTCACGGCTGCCACCTCATGGCTAGAATGGTGTCTGGCATACAGCGGGTGCTCAATAAAGTGTTCTTATGCTACCAACAGCAACAGCAAAACGGAGGATCACAGCCAGCCAGCGCTGGTTCCATCATTTATGAAACTGGCGAATGGGCAAAGAAGGGTTCACAATACTATTTTCTTGACTTTTGCAAGTATGTAAAAATCCCTTTATAACAAATGAGAAGAAAAAAAAAAAGCTAAAGAAAGTGCTGAACCTCTGACATGTGCCCATAGCCAGGAGACAGGAAACAGGGAACAATGACAACGATGAAGAGGAAATAAGGACAAGTACACTCTGACTGATAAGAAAGAGCTGGTGAGTGATCCCCCACCCTACCCACCGCCCCCACACACACAGTCAGGGTCAGGGCCTCTGCTTCCGGGTGGGAAGTGTGCCGTGCCTCTGTCCTTAGTTTTATGGAGGTTAAGCCTGTGTGTTCTGGATTAAGTCATTCTGGGGAGTTCATCACCAAAACAGCAGTGCCCCACCCTGCTCCCATGACGCACCTCCACCCCGCACGTCCCTTCTTTGCTGCTGAATCTCTGGAAGCTCTAGCTGTTCCCTCCCTGCCCGAGTAGCAGCCCTGGAGCAGTAGCAGCTGGTCAGTTGGAGCGTCGCCTATGGCGTGCCTGCTCTGCTGCTGGATGGTGGTCCCTTACCCCTCTGGACCCTGCTGGGCCCTGCCCTTGCCACCTGCACGCCTTCTCCAGACAGGCGTGCCATCGCTTCCACCAGAGCCACGCTCAGTGACCCGCATGCCCACCACCACGTGCGGGCTGTCACAGCCGACCTGGCAGCACCCTGTCATGAGTGTTGTGCTCCCACACAAGGCTTCATTCTCCCGGGAAGGAACCACAGTCCCGATTTCCGCTTGCTTTGTTTTCTATGTACTCGTCACCAACCTGGCCCCAACGCCTGAACCTCTTCTCCACACGTCCCAGTGCAGGTGCCCCGTCAATTTCACGCCCCCCCAAATCCTTTCCAGGGACCTCTGGCAAGCTCAGGTCACGAGGGGTCTGGCGTCTGCGCCCAGTGCCTGGCAGGCAGCCTGGCCTCTGGGGCTCACCCAGAACCTTTCCCCTCTCTTCCAAGGGAAGCTCTGTCCACTCCAGCTCTGTCTAGATTGACCGCCTCGTTCTGACAGAGTATGCCTGCCAGTCACTTCCTTAGAAGGTCCCCAGGGGTGAATTTTGGGAGCATATCTGAAAATATTTTCACTCCACTCTCCTTTGCCTCAGTGTAGAGTTCAAGATTCAAAAATGTCCCTTCAGAACTTTGAAAGCCATTTCTCTTGTCTTCCAGCTCCCACTGTTGCTGTGGGGGAGTCCCGGTCATCCTCTTTCCTCTGTGCTGACCCGCTTTAAGCTTCTTGTAGAAACCAGCACAGCTTTCTCTGTCCCTGAGTTCTGAGACACCCCCCAACCACGTGCCTCAGAGGGTGTGCCCGGCTCCCCAAGCTCTGGGACCCACAGCTTCAGAGGCACTTCCAAATAAAGCCCTTGCTCCCCAAACTTGCACTAGGCACCCTCTGAGGAAACCCAGCACCCTCGCTGCCTACACTTGCTGCCCACACTCTATCCAACGGGGAGCTGAACTCACTAGGAGAGTGACGGACACCCACACTTTCCTCTGCGCTGCCAGCCCCTCTGCGCCCCTCAACGGGAAAGGTTCACTTCCAGGAAGTTACCTTGTGTTATTTGGCTAGCGATTCCATCCCACTTCCTTCCTTCCTTCCTTTGTCTCCCTTTTTCATTGTCTTTCTTACTGAAATAATCCTTTAGCTTCCAACCTCCTGATCTGATCCCGCAGCTTTCTCTTTCCTCTCTTTTTGCCTCTCCCTGCTTTTCTGCTCCTCTTCCTAAGTTCCCCATCCTTCCCTTCTCCCCATCCCGAGTGTTCATTTCTGCCATTGCTCTTTACACCCAGGGCTTCCTTCTGGCACTTTGCTCTTTTCAGAGCATCCTGCTTGTGCATGTGTGTGCGACGTTCATCTCCATGCATGCATGAGCTTCTCCCTGCACACCCTGCACTGCCCGTGAGTGTGTTCTGGCCTCTATCTCCCCCTATGGAAGGGGTGAGGGACTAAAGGGCCCTGGAAGCCCTGAACCCTGGGAGGGGGGGTTAGTAATCATGAGCCTCATCAGCGAGGGCTCTATCTGGGCCTCCTGACTGGGGGTCCTGATGCCACCATTTTCGGGTCTTTGCCTTTTTGGGCTGCTCGAAGGCCCCTCCACTCTGCTGCCTGGAGGGAAAGGGCAGCCGGTCGTGCTCCGGGCGCCCAGCACCCTCCCAGGTCCTGCTCAGAAGTGCACTCCTCTCCCCAGTGCAGCTGGGCCTGGTGCTTTCCATCCGAGCTGTGACATTTCAAAAGTCCTGTCTGCAGTTACAGAAACCCCCACCCCTTGGTTAACTGCAGGAAGTACAGAGTTGCTATATCAGTTGTGTTCAGCCCATCTGTTGGCAAAGCCACCAGCCCTGGCTGCAACCACACACCCACTAAGTAGGTGTGAAACTGCCTAACTGCTACTTTCTGGAGAGGAACCATGTTAACGATCAAAGCCAAAGATTAAGTTCTTTTTAGATGACAAACTAGCTGCATTTGTGTCAGTGGCGTCAATAGCAGGTGGTGGCCAGCCCACAAGGTGCGTTTCTGCGGAAATGTAGAGAGAGTGGCCGTCATGAAGCCATGTCATGCGCCTTAAAGACACAGAAGTCACGCAGGTCCCTGCAAACGGCCAGAGGACCTGAGAAACGGCCAGAGAAAATAAAAACATAACCAGTCTCCTTCCCAGAAACTGCACTTCGGCCTGGAGCCCTTGGGAGACCAGAACCACCTCAGTCCGGTGACCGTGCAGCGGGATGCAGACCACCACCCACGTCCAGGGTCGGCCACGCCACGCGCTGCTCTCCTGCTGCTCGCCTGCCCTCCCACGCGTGTGTCCCCAGGGGGGCCACCGTGGACACTGTTCCACCCTCTGCCGGGGCCTACAGCACCCGAGCAGACACCGCCCACAAATGACACGCATTCTGCCCGCGCCCGGTCCAAACTCCTCGCTGCGGCCAGCTCCGTTCTCGCGTCGCCAAGTCCTGGTCCCACGGAGCCCACGGCCCACTCAGACCCCACCCCCCGCAGCCCGCATCTGCGCGCTCTCGCCGGGGCCCCGCGACCCTCACACCCCCGCACCCCGCCGACCCGGTGAGGCTCCGCTCGCACAGCGTCCCAGGCCCTTTCCACCTGGGCGGCCCCTGCGGCCCCTGCAGCCCCTGCAGCCCCCACCGCGGAAAACTTCCCGGCGCCGCCGCGCGCGCCCGCCTAGGGGGCGGTCGGAGCCCGGAGCCCGGCCTGCAGGAGCCCCCGCCCGGCAGCCGAAAGGGTCCCTCGCGGATCTGCTAAGCGGCCCGGGCCCCGCACGTGCGGCCGCGCCCCCCGCGGGCCGCACCTGCCCCGCTGCGCCCGCAGTCCGGCCCCCGCACGGAACGGTCCGGCGCATCCTGCCGCGGCCGGCTCGCTCCGCCCCGCGCCAGACGGCGCCCCGGCGCGCCCAGGCTCGCGGGCCACGTCCCGGCGGCCCGCTGGAGAGCGGGGTCCCCTGCGGGGGCCGAGTCACGGCTCCCACGGCGGCCGGCTCAGAGAGGGCGCGCGCCGGGCCAAGGTCACACAGCGGCCGGCGCGGGGCTCCGCCAGGGCGCCGCCCGACCCTCCGGGGGGCGGAGGGGGCAGGGACCGCCCGGCCGCCGCGAGCCCGCCCCTCCTCCCACGCCCAGCGCCCCTGCGTCCCCGCGCCCCTCACCTCACCTCCCCTCAGGCCGCCGCCGCCGCCTCGCGACCCTCGGAGGCCGCCCCTCCGCCGGCCCCGCCCCCGGCCTCGCAGCCCCGCCTCCCACCCCTTGTCTCGCGAGAACTCGCGGCCCCTCAGCGCGCCCACCCTCAATGCGCCTGCGTCCTCTGCTCCCCACCCCACCTCCCAAATCATTGCCATGTGGCGCGGTATTTACGACCCGAGATGGACCCCGCCCCCTTCCCTAGCAACCAATCCTGCCCTGCCGGCCCTGGCATTGGCTCCGCCCACAAGGCCTGGTTCCCGGGAGCTAGGGGGAGACCCCCAAGGCTGTCAGTGCAGCCCGCTAACACCAGGCTGCGGCTGCAGCCAACACGGTCCTACTAACCGACTGAGGCAGCCCCTGCCGTCTTCGGCACCCGCCCGCGAGCGCGTATCGGGGAAGCGACCGAACCTCTCTGCGGTGGTCTCCAAGTCAGCCACCGGGAGCCACCGTTCAGGGACCCAGTAAGGCCCGGATGAACGGTGCCTATGCGTGCTTAGCAAGATGCGCGGCCGGCCGTTGCTCTGAGCATCACTTATTTTGTAAGTGTGGTTAATGCACATAAGTTACCATCGACACCATTTTCAAGTGTTCAGTTCGGTGCCATTGGGTACAGAACTTTTTCACTTAGCGATGTTCTGCGTGGTTCCTGCCTCTGGACAACCACTGGGGACCGACTGAAACCCAGACAGTTGCGGGAATCGAACCGTCAACCTTTCTCTTTGCGGGGCGACGCCCAATTCACGGAGCAAGCTGGCCAGGGCGGCAGCTGTCTTCTGATGGAAGGAATGCTGTGTCTTCTCCACTCCTTCCCTAGATAGCGCTCAGGCACGGAGAGTTCCCGTTGCTGGGCCCTGCAGGCCTGGCCGCAGAGAAGAAGCCAGGAAGGCCCTCCTGCAGCTTCACTTCTAACCGTGGAGACAACAACGACAAAAGAAATGTACTGCCCTGGCCGGTGTGGTTCAGTGGGATGAGCACAGGCCAGCGAACCACTAGGTCACTGGTTCGATTCCCAGCCAGGGCACATGCCTGGGTTGCAGGGGCCAAGCCCTCAATAGGTGGTGTGGGAGAGGCAAACACACGTTGATGTTTCTCTCCCTCCCTTTTTTCCTCCAGTCCCCTCTCTAAAAATAAATAAGATCTTTAAAAAAAGAAGAATGTACCAACCTCTTCTTTGCACCCATCCTCCCCCTTAGCATGAAAATAGCCAGCCCAATACCCTGTACCCACCTACTCCCCAGCTACCACCTTCTCAGGTAGCCTCTCAAAGCCCGAGTCCCATTCCCAGGGCTCCATCCCCCTTCCCCTCAGCCCCACTCACTCCCCTGCCTGGAAAGAGGTTTCCCCCACAGGCAGGCTCTGGATGGCAAAGGGCAGGAGCACTCAAATGCAAAGATACCAGTTACCTTCTGGTCGTTACAGTGGGTGGCAGGTGACAGGCCATGTCATGTTACTAATAGGGTTTGAAATCTACAGACACAGCAGCTGTGATGTTTTGTCATGTATGAGTTTA